ACATGCCATCTGTGAACCAGGAAGCGAGTCCTCACCAGACACCTCACAGAATCTGCCAGCCCCACGATCTTGGACCTCCCAGCCTCCAGAACCGTGAGAAATAAATTTCTGTTGTTTATAAGCCACCCGGTCTGTGGCATTTTGTTATAGCAGCCCAAACAGACTAAGACAACGTCCTTCTAAACAACCAAAATGCTTAGAAACAAAACATGTGAAGCATAGAAGCTTAAGCAGAAGGAACCGTCTTCTGCAGCCATAGTCTATCCCTTTCTCCAGTTGCATCCATTCAACATGTACTAACGTCTGATGTGACAGAACCCCATGGCGGGCAGGGAGAGCAGGGCTGAGAGAGGCTGAGCCTGGGAGTGGATGCAGAGCACAACCCAATACAGTCCCAGGTTGCAAGTAGCTTGATGTGAATGTCAGTTTACAAACAGGTAAGATGCCTGGAAGTGCCTGGCTCTTAGTGGGGCTTGGTAGATGTTAGTAGAAATAAACTGGAATGGGGACATGTGACATTAGCTAAGGAAACCCAAAGGAATATTCTGGGCCACCTGAGTTGGCAGTACCAAAAGCAAGACACACAATTGCGTCAGTATGCAAGAGGAAGCCTCAGTCCTCGGAGGAAGGACGTGCAGCCATCATGGTCATGCCCCTCCTCAGTCATCTGTGCGGCCTTGACAAATCACCTTGTCTCCACGCCTCAGCTCCCATCCAGGAGCTGGCAGGAGAGATGGTGCTCTCCTGCCATCACATTCTGTGGATAGGGGGTTATGAGAATTCTGCTGACTGCTCGGTGACCTGTTGCCCTCACACGGCTGAATGGAGGATACTCGTATCACACCTCCAGCCAGAAAGATGATTTTCAGAGCAGAGGGGAACAAACAGATGAGAGCCCGCCAAAGGGGCAGATCCAGGCATGGAGACTCAGCCCTGGGAAGTTGGACAGAGTCTGGACGGCCCGGAAGTAAAGGTGTGCAGACAGGCTCTCGTCGGCCAGATCACTGCGGAGATCCTTCTGGCAGTGATCAGAGCATCTCAGAAAAGGACCCACGGGAACTGACACTGTTGCCGGCCCCATTCTGGTCAGACTCCTATAAGCAGACACTGTGCACAGTGCTTGACTGCAGAGAGCTCCCTCCCTGGCTTGTCCAGCGCTCCTAACGGTCACCAACGTGAAAAGGGACAGGTCAGGTGCCACCACAAAGTGCCACAGACTGGGCGGCTTACATAATACAAATGTATTCCCTCACAGCTCTGGAGGCTGGAAGTCTAAGACCAAGGTATGGGCAGGGCTGGTTTCTCCGGAGGCCTCTCTCCTTGGCTGTACACGGCCATCACCTCCCTATGTCCTCACATGGTCTTCCCTCTGTGCGTGTCTGTGTCCTCATCTCCCCTTACAAAGACATCAGTCATGCGGGATTAGGGTCCAGCCATACAACCTCGTTTAACCTTATTCACCTCTTTAAAGCTCAATCTGCAAAGAGAGACACATTTTGAGGTCCTGGGGGTTAGGGCTTCAACAGGTGAATTTGCGGGACACACTCAGCTCAGAATAACAACCATCCTAAAATCACATGCATATTTCCTGACTTCACACACACATACACAATCACACACTCACACACTCTCACCTTGGCTCACATACACTCGCAGATACTCACACACACAGTTATTCCCAAAAATGACAAGGCCTACTGACAACTGACTCCCAGGCAGAGAAGACCTGCACACCAGGTGTGGGAGAGGAGAGGGCCGTGTAGGGCCCTATGTGGATGCCCTGCGAGCGGGGAAAGGGGTCTCGCCCCGATCCAGGGCTCAGGCAGCCCCCAGAGGAAGCAGTGTCTTGGCTGAGACCTGAAGGTGTGTCGTCAGTGTCCAGGCAGAGCTTGGAGAGGGCAGGGGTTCCCGGTATCAGGAACGGCTGGTGCGTGTAGGCCTGGAATTGGAGGAGCTGGTGCTGTCACTAATCCATGGCCCCTGTGTAGCTGGGACGTGTTGGGGTAAGTGGGCGAGGGGTGGGCCGGGGAGGGTCTGCATGACCGGGGAGGGTCAAGGTGAGAGTGTGCGCGTGTGTGCATGTGTGAAGTCAGAGCTGAGGGCTCAGTCATTCTGCTGAGAGCCAAGAGCACTGCAGCAGGGCAGCAACCTGACCTGATCTGTGCTTTAGAAAGACACTGACTAAGCGTGGGGAGCAGAAGGGAGGGGAGGAAGGAGTGGGGGGTGAGAAAGGCAGACAGGACCAGGCATTGGTAGTGAGGACGCCGAGTCTGGGGAGAGGCAGGGATGGCAAACTGTGCGGTCTCCACCCCTGGGGTCAGGACAACATGGGGAAAGAATAGCTTCTTGTGACACTCAGGCATCTCAGCCCTTTCCTCCCTTGCCCCTGGGGGAGTGACCCAACATACCGCGGGTGAAGGAGAGGAGCCCCGTCCTCCCCTTCTATGGGATTGCTGCCCGCTGCAGCCACAAGCCCATCAGCCACCTCTGCCACTGTGGGGCTACTGCGGAAAGGGGCAAGCTCCTTTCAGGGGGACTCATTTGGGCTGGGAGCAGAACCAGATGATGTGGACCCCTGCACATGGGTTCCCGGCAGCATCCATCACTTGTGACATGCAGAATCGAGTCCTGCTTGTACTGGGCCCCAAGGTTGGGCAGCCTGGACCTTTGACCTTATCAGTGGGCAGTGACTGCCACGTGGGGCAGCTCTGTCCACACCAGGTGGGTTTTTCTCCAGGCGTGCTGCTCTGGGACAGCCCACACCTGTGGGCAGATGGGCAGCCTGAGCCCACCGCAGGCACCCTGGGAGGCAGGCTGCCCCGAACCGTCCAGGTGCACCGCCTGGCCCTGGCACTATGAGTGAGGCTGACTCAGGAGGGCATCTCTCCTAGGCACTGGGGAGGGGGATGATATTTCTGGCTTTAACTGAGTCAGATCAGTTAGACAGATGGAGAACTTCAAGGCAGCAGCGTCCGCTTGGGCCGCAGAGCCCTGTGAGCTCTGGCTGGGCAGGTGGACAAGATCAGCTGCCTCAGTGCCTTCTGGGCTCAGGGCCAAGGAGGGAAGCACAGGCAGCCGACCTTGCATTCCTGTGGCTTAGCCTCAGGCTCCTCTCCCCACCTCTCCTATGGTCTCCAGTCGGCTCTGAATTGGCTTTCTTTAGGAACTCAGATGGAATTACACTGTATCTTTTATTATTATTATTATTATTGAAATATACTTGACATACAATATTATATTAGTTTCAGGTGTACAACGTAGTGATTTGACATTTATATATATACGGAAAAGATCACCAGGACAAGTCTGGTAACCATGCATCACCATACAAGGTTATTACAATATTATTGATGACCTTCCATGCTATATATTACACTGTATCTTGAGCATTGCAGAGAGCCACAGGCCTCAGAAACAACAAAGCCTCCCCATTTCCTGCTCTGCTGAAGGAGAATCTGCACCAGAAAAGCATGGGTGGGGGGGACCTCATGCAGGAGCAGGGTCTCACAGGCCTCAGCAATTTCACAGAAAAAGGCAGCACCAGACCCCAAGCCGCCCCCAAGGTGGCATCAGGTCCCTGCATCAGGAGCTTCTGGCCAACATCTGAGGGAAAATAACGTGAATAAGCAGAAGGGGGAACAGAGATGTCCCATGTAACTCCAGGAGGCAGAACTAAGGTGGGAAGGGGGGAGTCCCAGGGAGAAAAATTCCAGGTCAATAAGCACAAAGGAATGTTCTAGCAGCCAGAGGTGTCCAAGGGAAGGGGCATCACTTCTGAAGGTGGCCAGGAGGGGGTGTCCAGGTGAGGCAGGATCTCGGAGGCAGGATGGGCACCACCCACGGGCCAACAGAGCCACCCAGATGGTCCATCTGACAGTTGCACACTGGGGGTCAGGAACCGTGCAGGTGCACCAGTCCCAAATAGCAAAGTTCCCATGCCACCCGGCGTCCCACAGGGAAACAGCTCACACTATGTGGCTCCAACAAAGAGACTTTACCCAAGGGACACTACAGTGGGGGGCAGTGAGGACACTACCAGGAGGGGGTGGGCGAGGACACTATGGGGAGGGGGTGGGTGAGGACACTACCGCGGGGAGCAGTGAGGACACTACAGTGGGGGGCAGTGAGGACACTACAGTGGGACGTAGGTGAGGACACTACAGCGGGGGGCAGGTGAGGACACTACCGGGAGTGGGTGGGCGAGGATATCCTCGGGGGGAGAACATCTGAGAGCTGGATGGACAGGTCCCCCTCACACCCGCCCACATTCTCCTGGCGTGAAGCTCTCTGAGCCACTCGGAGCTCTGACATTCTGGGATTCTGGGGCCTCAGTCACTCCCTATCTATAAAATGGGTATGAGGGACTTGCCAGTCCCAAGAGACTGCAGTCTCTCTGAACACCCTGAAATAAAACAGGAAACTGCAGAAGCTGCATTACTCTTTACTCTGAGAAAGCACAGACGGTGTAGACAGAGCTCAGCCAGCATGTGAGCACACAGGACCCCACTGGAAGGGCACCTTGCTCACAGGGAGGCTGGTTAGGAAGGAGGCCTGTACCCACCGCACAGCCGGCCTCATGCTGGGCACCCCGCGCCCCCAGAGGAGCTCTGGCCCACCCTCACTCCAGCCCCTGGTTGTAGACACAGATAGCAGATCTGCAGGCTGTGCACAGCCCAACCCTCAGTATCCCAGCTTCTCTCATCCAGGGATGTGCATGGAGGACTCGGTCGGCCAGGAGGTCTCAGGGACTGCACAGCAGGGACCCACAAATGCCCTCAGCCCTGTCTTCCCCCACCCCCAGCTCAGGTGGGAGTGGGCTGACCAGGCCAGAAGTGGGGCTAGGGTGGGCGGTAGGATCAGGTTTGGAGGTGGGGTCAGGGCCTGGGGTGGGGTCAGGGCAAAAGGTGGGGTCAGGGCCAGGCCTGGGCTGGGGCCAGGAGGGACTCTCTGCTAAAGAATGGCCTAGAAACCCCCACAGCCTCAGCCCAGCCTGGCAGCACAGGCCCAGCAGCAGCGACTTGTGCCCAGCACGTAAGCTCCAGCCTCGGGACATTTTCTTCCACCAGCCCAAGGAAGAGCGAAGAGCTTGGGTGAGCAGCACGGGTCGGTGGCATCTGCTCAGAACTGATGGCTGAGTGGCGGTGGCCAAAGCTGTGTCCACAGGCTCTCCCGGCCCCCAGGACCTGTCTTCTCTCTCCGCCTAGCCAGGCCCTCACAGCAGCTGGTCAGTGCGTTTGCTGCGCCACACCACCAGGCCAGCCATGGCGACAGTCAACAGGACGGGCACAGCGATGAGTGGGATGAGAACCTCGTCCGGGGGATCCTGCCAGTGGGGCCTGTCCACCGTGCAGTTGGAGAAGAACTGCCTGTGGATGCCAGTGATGAGGCCCTGGGCCAGCGGGTTGGGCCAGTAGCAGCCCACCTTTGTGCTCTCCTCCTCGGTGCAGTTGGTGAAGCTGTCATAGTACCTGCAAAGGCAGAGCCGTGACTGTCCAGCCCCCTGAGGGAAGGGGGACGGGGCCCAGTCCTGCTTGGCCACCTGCTCTCTCCCATGTGGGAAGAGTGCACCCTCCTGCCGTGACCCCCATGGGGCCTGCTGGGCAGGGGTCCATCCTCTGGCCTCCTTGCCCTGAGGGTCTCCGGGTGTGATGACCCTGTCCCCTGTACCCTAGCACTTCCTACCTCTGGGTCTCAGCCCCACTGTCACCTGCACCTGAGCCACCTCCCCAACGCACACAACCATGTTCTACCCCACTTTGCAGGACCCCTCATCACGAATCCTCAATTCCTCCCGTGCCCCTGCCCCAGCAGACAATGACCTCTGCACAGATCCTGGTATCATCGAGCCCAAGCCCTGGCACTCCCATCTTAAGGAAGAGGAAACTGAGCCCAGCAAGGAAACTCTAAGACCACGAGCTCCCCATCTATACCTCATGCCCACACCTGGGTCATCCACACCCGTGACAGGCTTCCTGTGAGGCCGTGAGCCCCCAGCGCCCAGGTCTGGGCCCAGCCCCCAGGCTCTCAGCACTTGTGCCTGGAGGACACATCAGGCCTGGCTTCTCCAAGGCCAAGGGGGGTGTGGGGTCACGGCCGCTGGGACCTGCAAGACCCTTGTCATCTAGGGCCCCTCTCTGGGCCCCAGGGGAGGAGGTCTCTCTGAGGCCAAGGGCCAGCTGCCTCCCAGTCAAGTCAGCCTACCCTCACTGACCAAGTGGTGGAGGGGTCCCCTGTGAGCCCAGCCCCGGCCCCCGCTGGACAGGACACTTGCAAGCGCCCCTCCTCCAGGGTCTCTCTGTCCGTGTCAGTCAAACCTGGGAAGGGCACTCAGAAAACCACCCCAGAGGTACTACGTCTGTCCAGCAGGAGGGCTCTGGACGCTCCTCAAAACTGACCAACAGACAGCTACCAGGACCCAAGTTCAGCCCAACAGCAGGCAGGCCCAGGATGCGATGAGCGGTCTCTGGAGGGGGTGGCTTAGGCTGGCAGTCACTTTCCAAGATGCTCTGAGGGGAGGACTGGACGACACCTGCCAAGGTGCACCAGGCCCGTCCACTGCCCGTGCTTCCCCACACCCGGCCGAGTGCTGCATGAAGGACAGGTGCAGGAAGGGGAGGGGCTCCTGCCTCCGCTCCCCCTGGGAACAGGGGCCTGGGGTGAGGCCGGCCGGTGGCTCTGCAGCCCACCTCCTCCCTCCAGTGCTGTCCCTGGAAGAGCAGCCTGGCCTGAGCCATCAACAGGAAGGAACTGCTTCCTGCAAGGAGCTTCCTGCACAGAATGCCATCTATGCCAGGACACCAGCTGGGAAACAGGGCCGCTCATCCACTCAGTCTACCTGGGATGGCCCTCTTGTGGCCCACCCCTCCTGGCAGTGCCAAGCAGCTTCCCAGTCCAGATGCTGGGATGCAGGTCAGGCACACACCTGTTCCTCCCTGCCCCTGTCAGGTAACGTGGCAAGGAAGAGCCCACACAAAGCAGAAGAGAGCCGGAAGCAAAGGGAACAGCCTGGTACCTGAGTCCAGAGCTGTGATGCGGCCCCTGGGACATGTCACATCCCAGGGCACCTCACCAGCCAGGTCCATAGGCAAACCCATCACCTCCTCAGACCCACCCCTCCCACAGGGCCCTGGACTCAATGACCTGCTACCCAGGAACCGTCTAACCTGACACCCCGCCAAAGCCTTCACCCCAGGGAGCTCCCATCCTGGGAGTTTGATGAGAGCCCGGTGCTCCCACTCCATATCTCCCGAGGCCTCCCAGCGTTCCCAAGAATGCCACCGTGACGCACACCAGGGCTCCTGGGGCTGAGGCCAGGCAGAGGGGGCCGGGGAAGCCCTGCTGCAGACAGCAAGCCCTCGGGGGCCAGCGAGTGGCATGTGACCCATGTGACCCACACACACAAAAGGCAGCACGGCATAGCTTAGGGCTGACCTGAAAGGCTTCCTCCAACCCCAGCTTGGCACTGACCATCTTCCTGACTTTAGCCACGTTACTTAGCCTCCCTGAGCCTCAGTTTCTCCACCTGTAAATGGGGTTCATAATACTCATCCAATAAGGTGGCTAAGAGGATGAAGTGAGGTGGTGTGTGTGCACCCCTGGCAAGTGCCTAGCACATGGTAGGCGCTCAGTGAGGTCTCAGGGCGAGCCTCCCGACTGCTAGGAGTGGGCAGAGCTGAGCACAGCACCCGCCTATGTGGATGGACTCATGGGGGCGACACGCAAAATGCCCACGCCTGGTGCTTCTCAAGAATGCTGGGAACTGGCTCCGTATTATAATAACAAATGTTTTCAGGATGAAAGTCATCGAAGGTTGGGCACCTGACAGGAGCTGCAGGCTGACTCGCACATCTGGCATCCTGCCATTCCCGGGGCTAGGAGGTAGACAAGGCAGGAATGCACATGTTTCCACACACAGCCCCCACCTGTTAACTCCCCAGCACTGACTCAGGCTGGAGACAAAACCAAGGTGTTCTTCACAAGGAAGCTGCTGTCTGCATGGCATCACAGAACCAGGGTCACAGCAGGGTCTGTTCTTCCCAAACATCCCTGGTCGCCCAGGCCTCCCCACGCCGCCACTTCGATCTGGCTCCAAGACCACTCTCCCTGCAGCTCTTGGGTTGCTGCACACAGGCTTAAAGATGCAGCCGCAGCCCAGATGGGAGAGGGAGGCACAGAGCCTGGAAGACATCCAAATCTCCCCCATCGGACTCCCTCTCCCACCAGGAAAAAGCTTTTCCAACTCGACGGGGGTGGTCATGGGCCCCTCACCTTCCTTCTAGTCCCTCCACTTGCAATTGCTCCCAGGTGATGCAGCGCTGCATTTGGAAATCCCGCTGGCAGCCAGCCCTTAACCCCAGCTGGCCGCAAGGCGGGGACAAGAGCTACAACCTCAGAAAGCATCAGGCGCCCAGAACATCGATTGCCGCTCCCCAACTGCTTTGGGGACAGGCTGCCTTCCACCCCTGGTGCTCGCTGCCCCAGGGACGCCTTCCCCCTCCCACTTTGGCTGTGTGTCTCATGTTGTCCTTTTCCGTGGTTTTCTCCCTCGCCTTGGAGCACAGCCAGCACTGCTCCCTAAGAAAGGGTGCCCAGGAAACAAAAGGTGGAGATGGCAGGAAAGAGCAATCTAGGATTCTGAAGTCCTCCCCATGTCCTGGTTTCCAGGGCTGCTGTGGGGACACCCGAGGCCCCAATTCCTCATCTCCTGTGTAGAGCCCACTTTTGTTTCTCTGGACATGTAGACACATTTCGCTTTCACAGCTCGGCTACTTCCCAGCCCATGCCAGGCACCAGGTGAGCCCTCTCAGTCTGCAAATTCTCACCCCCACCCACGAAATGTCCCTGAATTTCCCCCTCCACCTCCCTGGTCCCACTAGAACTCCTGCCACCTGGGTGTCAGACCTGTTGTCTGGCTCTGCCCTCCTCCTGCTCCCAGCTCTCTGTCTTTCTGCTTCCTGGGAGATCTCCTCAGCATTCATCTCCCGACTCCTGTTTCGCGTCTCATTGCCTCACTTCTGAGGGTTCTTCCTTGGTTCTGGAGCTTCATCTCCTCCTCCACAGGCGAGCACCTGCCTCTCTAAAGTACTGATGGTGACGTTCGGGGTTTCCCTCCTGCTACACGGTCTCAGGTTGCCTGACTCTGTCTTGGCCCTCGTGTCAGAGCCCTTACTCAGATGTCCCTTCTTGGATGTTCATGGCTGGGAGGGAATCACGGCTGGTGGACGCTCAGGGCCTGGGGGAAAGGCCTGTCCCAGAGCTTCCCGGGCATCTGCTGGGCCCTCTGCAGGGAGCCCATAGCCACACCTCATTTCCTTAGGAAGGACGGCTCAGGCCCCCACCCTGAAGACCACCCTCCTGGAGCCAGTGGAAGGAGCAAGCAGGCACCAACTGCTTTCTCCACGTCTCCACTCTGGGGTACGGGGCCCACACTCACGTGGGTGGTGAGGCCCCAACCCTCAGTCTCAGCAGCAAACCTCAGTGTCGGGCTGGGCTTCAAAGGGGCCCCAGACCCCAGCTGCTTCTCAGACGGCTCCCCAGGTGCCCGTTCTTCCAGCCCAGGTCTTGGAGGCCTGTGTGGTATAAATCGGCTGCTCCTGGCTGCCCTTTCCCCAGGTGTGTGAGGTCAGTGCCCATCTGCTCTCCGACTCCCAGACGCCCCTCCTGGCCTCCCACTCCTGTCCTCCGGCCCTGGGGCCGCGTGTCTGTTCAATCTCCTCTCCAAGACTTTAGCGGATGACAGAGGACAGGAAGCTCCCACCTCATCCTCCCTGGTCCCCACACCTGTGTGTCCACTCTGGGCATGGGGTCGGGCCCCCTTCTCCAGAAGCTTCCTCACAGCTCACTGAGGACAAGAAGGAGCCTAGTCAAGCCTGAGCCCCCAGCACCCATTCCTAGCAGACGCAGGAATTATGCTCCATTTGGTTCAGCAAATGGTTCCCCCACACCGACTACATGCCAGGTACACACAGGGGCTGTGGACATGGACTCTGCCCCCAAGGAGCCACTGTCCACTGGGGAAATGGGCATACAAAGCTCTAGGACGGCCACTGGGGACAGAGAGCACAGGGACTCAGAGGGGAAAGGGCTGAAGTGGCTGAGCAGGCCCAGGGCTTCCTGGGAGGATGGGGACTCCAGGCAGGCACGGTGCATGGGACCCACCAGCAGAGCACCAGGGTGAGACAGGAGGTGGGGGGAAGGTGGTGCAGCCCATCAGTGATTTCCAAGGAGGCAAAAGGACATGTCGAGGCTTGATGCAAAGTGTGATCACAGGAGATAAAAACCTTAGAAGCTTCTAGAACATGGAGCCCTCTACAGTGAGGCATTGCCAGCACCAGGTAGAAACCAGTGGAATTCACTTTCTCTGGGGTCCACTGGCCCTGACCACAGACCCAGTCTTTGATGGTGCTGTAAGAAAGACCCCAAAATGACAATTTCCACCCAGCATGGGACCGTGAAGAAAGACAGGCACCCCAGGGCAGGGCACCAACCCCATTCAATAAGGGGAGTGGGTATCAGGGGTTTCCCAGAGAAACAACCACACTCAGAGGAGGGCAGACAGCCTGGGGCATTCAGTACGGAATTGCTAGACTATTCAGTGAGGGGGATGGGGGGATATAGGCTAGAAGGCAGCTTCAGAGCATGGGGAGCACAGACACTGAGGGAAGGGTGTGGGCAGGGGGTGGGCAAGGTGTGGGCAGGGCACGAGCAGGGCGTGGGCAGGTTGTGGGCAGGCTGTGGGCAGGGCATAGGTGGGCAGGCCCAGTGCCTGAGCAGTGACACTCACACAATGAACTCTGACAGGTTGCACCACTTCCAGGTGTCCACCTTGTGCATCATGTCTGCGAAGGCCTTCTCGCACCGGGGCAGCATCTCCAGCATGCGAGTCTCGTTGCAGCTGTCCACTGGGGCACACCCCCCTGGAGAGGGGACAGCCATGAGCACTCCACTGCTGGGAAGGCTTGGTTTACAGGCGTGACCCTTGAAGGCCCTCCTGCTGACGTTCCCCTACATGCAGCTGGGGTCTTCCTCCCTCATCCTGGCCTCCGTGTGACCTGGGAGGTTGACGCCAACGCAGAAAGGGAGACCCACATGGGAGTGTCCCACTGAGACAGGACCCAGAGGGGCCATGGCCTCCCCGTGGGATGTACAAGGAAGAAGGCAAGGGGAGGGCAGTGGGCAGGGAGACACGTGTCCCTGGGGGTGGGGGGGGGGCGAGGGCAGACAGGCTGCAATGTGGGTGGGGGAGGCAGAGGGGTCCTGGGCAATCAGGGCAGAGGCTCCACTGCTACTCAAGGGCTGAGGGTGCCTGCAGTGTGTCCCAAGAAGTTTCTGAGTCTGGTGACAGTCCAAGGCCTCAGGGGCAGCAGCAGAGGCCCTGTGGTGGTGAGGACCACCTGCCCTGTCAAAGCTGCCCCTCAGACTCCAGGAAGTCTGAGGCTGAGGTACTGTAGGGACCCGTGTTCCAGCAATGGGGGCCAGTCCTTTGGACGCTCTTGGGGTCTGGTGGGGCCCCTTCCCCAGGATTTCCCATCACCCCTCCTGACCTCTGCCACCAACAACCTGTCTGCTCCACCACCAGGAACGCCCACCTGTCTGTCCCTCAGGACCTGTCCACCCACCCTCCCTGGACACCTGATTTCCGGTCATGACCACCGGCTGGTAAACCCCTCCCTTGACCCTTGGCTTTGGCTCCCGTCATATAATCAAGAGAAAGCCCTGCTGTGACTGTCCTGCTATGTGTCCTGGTGTATGTGTATGTGTATATGCACGTCTATGTGTATGTGTGCATGTGTGTGTTATGTGAGTATGTACATCTATGTGTGTGGATGTGTCTGTTTGTGACGTGCATGTGTGTATCTGCCCTGCCATGTATATCGTGGTGTATGTGTGTATGTATGAGTGTATGCATAGCTATGTTTGTGTATGTGTGTACTGCCCTGCTGTGTCTGTCCTGATGTGTGTATGTGTGTGTTATACGTGATATGTATGTGTGCATCAATGTCTATGTGTGTGCATGTGCACCCTGC